CAATTTAATTCTGTAATTTTTATTTCTTTAAAATAGATTGTACATCTCACTAACTCTGATAATCAAATTCTATTAATTGAATATGTAATATGGCAAAATAAAAGTCAATAAAAAGTAGATTCGTGATTTTATTTTTATTGGTTGTATTTTGATATGTCATTCATAAAAGAATTAGTTTTAGAGTAAATTATTTAATCCAAACAAAGTTTGAATGTGAATTTTTATATTTTATTACTTATTATCAAATATTTAATCTTAAATTAAGTTTTACGCAAAAAATTGATCTTATATAAAATAAAATTTTATTTTTTATATAACGTCGGTAAAGATTTTAAAAATTTATATTTGATATATTATCGGTATATAAATTTTATACATTATTAGTGAATCAGATTATAATACTTCATTAATAAGATGAATCAGATAATAATACATCATTAGTGAGTAAATTTTTTAAAAATTTTAATTTGTGTATATTTATTTTAAGAGTTTATATTTATTTATTAATAAAGTATTATCATTTAATTTACTGATAACGTATATAATCTATATTTATAATGTATAAAATTTATATATTGATAATATATTAAATATAAATTTAATTTTAAACTTCATAAATAATAGTAAAAAATTATTGTGTATTTATTATATTATTTTTTAATATATCTTAAAGGGACTCGTGGCATTTTTTGTTATTATTGATGAAATTAAAAAATTTTAGATAAATTTTGTAAAAATTTTATGAAAATAATATTTTAATTTTTCTTACAAGTATCATATTTATTGTCTTGATTTATTATCTTTAATACAAAAATATCTGAAAAATAAATTTAAACTAATTAATAGAAGGCACACTCTTTGTTTGTATAAAAAATTTTGATCTTATAATTCTCATCAAATTGATTTTAAAATTTACAAATAAAATACCCCCGAACAAAAAAAAAAAAAAATGATTTGGAGCTTTTTAGAGGCTCTACGGCATTCATGCCAGTGGTAGTGATATTGATCGTAGGAGAGAGGGGAGAAAGATAAGAGAGTCACATGGGTGGTGTTTGGTTCAAGAAAATCATGTGATCACATGTGCTTTCTTTCTTTCTTTCTTCCGCATTGTTATTGCATTTGAGGGTCCCTCTTCTTTTTTGACCCTTTTTTCGTTGGACCTATCCGCAGGTGATCCTAGAAAATCCATTTTGATCGCCACTCACTTCCAACTGCGGCTGGGGATTCCCAAGCAATTTGCTTCCACGGAGCTTTCCACCCGCCGCATGTACCGGGTAAGTACATTTTGGCATGCGCTAACGTCTTTTTCACGAGAGCATATGCCAGTGTCACGGACTTAAAGAGAAATCTTGAATCTCACATTAAATATAAAAAGAAGGTTATTGAGATATAAAAGAGTTCACATCACATCTCCTTTGTAAGGTATTTTTTGTAAGATAAAAACGAACAATACTTCACAAAAGTGTAAACCGTGATAGGAAGACTGATTTGAGAAGTCAGATGAGTGGATGTTTAGGTCTTGGAGCCACGCGAGTCGAAACTTAAGTCTCGATCCATGACAAATGGCATCAGAGCCAACCCTATACCGTTCGATTCACGCCAACGCCAAGCGCCTTGAGGGAGGTAGGCAGGGTGACCAGCTTCCGTGATGAGGACGTGACGAGGTTGGACGAGAGAAAATGTCATGGACCTAAGGAGGAGTCCTGAATCCCACATCGAACATAAAAGGTCGAGGTAGGTAGGCAGGGTAGTTAGCCTCCATGATGAGAACGTCACGAGGTTGGATGGAAGAAAATGTCATGGACCTAAAGAGGAGTCTTGAATCTCACATCGAATATAAAAGGAAGGTCACTGAAGTATAAAAAGGTGTTCACACCACCTCTCCCCTTGTGAGGTACCTTTTGTAGGACAAAATCGTAAGGTCAGAGAGTCAGAGCGGACAATACCTCACAAATGTGTGAACCGTGACAGTCAGGCTGATTTGAGACGTCGGAAGAGTGCATGCCCGGGTCCTAGAACAACGCGGGTCAGAGTTTAAGTCTTGATCCATGATAAGTGGTATCTCGATCCGTGACAAGTTGTATCAAAACCAGCCATATATCGTTTGATCCACGTCAAACACCTTGAAGGAGGTAGGTAGGGTAGCCAGCCTCCGTGACACCCTACCTATTTTCGTGACGAGAGCGTCACCAGATTAAGTGGAAAAAAATATCACGGACCTAAAGAGAGGTTCTGAATCTCACATCGAACATAAAAAGAGGGTCACTGGGGTATAAAAGGGTTCACACCACTTCTCCCTTGTGAGGCGTCTTTTGTAGGACAAAATCGTAAGCTCAAAGGAGCTAGAACGGATAATACCTCACAAGAGTGTGAACCGTGGTAGGTAGATTGATCTGAGATGTCGGATGAATAGATACTCGGATCCTGAAACCATGCAGATCGAAGCGTAAGTCTCGATCCATGACACAAACACTACCTCATGACCTTTCTCACGTGCTTTTGTGTGGTTCGTGAACTTCACCGCTCAGGTCCTATCCAAAAATCAAAGATTGTGGCATTGCAAAGGATTGTTCCAGGAGGTGAGACTTTAGAGGTTGACAAGCTGTTTTAAGAGACTGCTGGGTATATATTAGCTTTGCAGTCTCAAATTAAAGCCATGAGAGTTCTTGCAAGCTTTATTGAAGGCTTGGAGAAACAGAAAAGAAAGCTTGGAGGTTGATTAAGCACAGAATAATTGTTTTTCAATTATAATTTTCTTTTCTTTTATTTATTTATTTATTTATTTTATTGTCAAGCAAGATGGTGACGGAGACCAAGATCCTACATTATATTCCCACTTCCCATCCTCTTTCATTTTCATTCTTTTTGTTTTTGTTTTTTAATTATGGTTTACTTTTTTACATCAAACCGTTAGAATTTAAACTCTTCACTTAAACTAATAATCCAATGTTTTATTAACAAATTACTTAGCGTCGGCGATAATGGTTTATTACGTTAACTATTTATAGCTCAATGAAAAGGAGGTGAAAGTTGTTTAGTAATGCAGCTAAGTGCAGAGAAATCAGAATCAGAAATTATTACCATTGGTAAATGCAGAGAAATATGTTAATGGGTGATGCATTTGCCCTTTGGTTGGAATATTAAAATGAACGACATATTCTTATGGTGTTCTTTTATTGTGGGTTAGAGATAGACATAATGATTTACGTATTTATATTGTGTAAACTATTAAAATTTATATATTTATCTCATATTTTATATAAAAATTACGTGTTATAATTCGTATCGATACGAAACTATAAAATATATTTTTTATTTTGTTAAATATATATAATTATTATTAAAATTTTAATTCGTATCATTTTTATATTTTATATTCGTATTATATTCGTGTTGTGTTTTAAATTATTAGATCTAGTTGAAGGTTAAGAGTTAACCATTTTATTCTTCGTGCATTTTGAGTTGGAGGCTAGTTTTGGACCAACGATTATTTTGGATAGAAATGACCACGAACACAAATTTATTTTTTTTAAATACCAAAGTTTATTTTCATTGCATTTTTAGCATAAATTTTTTTTAGGCTTATTTTGCTCCTATTTCCAAATTTCAAGTTAACTAAGAAGTTTTAAGTTTAGTAATTCATAAGAAATGATACTTAACTCTCCGTAGATTTGGTGATAAATTTTTGAGATATTTTTGAATTATTAAAAATATTGTTTGATAAAAATGAAAATTTGTTAAGCAATAATTCTAAGATGAAATAGATTTTTGGTGAGATGTTTGTGGTTTTATAAATAATAAAAGTTTCAATAAATTGGGATATGAAAGAAAAATATAAAGAGAATTATAAAATTTAATGACAATAATATGTAAATATCTTACAGAATTAAGGAAAATATTCATGAATATAGTTGTTTGATATTTGGTAAAAAATTGTTAGAGATTGAACGATAACGATTATAAAGATTGAATGAGAATGATCATTGATGATCAAGCAAGACTATTGATAAATTTGTTTGGGGTTGATTGTTTGTTAGAGTAAAATTGGTTGATTTGTTTTGAGTGTAGAATATTGAGTGTTGATATGTTTGTAATTATTTATAATTAATAGATTTTTTTCATTAATGAATATAAGTTGAGTGTTTAAGCATATTAATTAAATCTTATTTTTGCATGGATGATTTATTGTTGGATTTCATAATTGTATCATGCAAGATTAACAGTGTAATCTTATATAAAAGGGAAACTTATTTACAAGATCTTAATTGAGAAAAAAAAAATTGCCGATTGAGAAAAAGTTATCACTGAAGCATTTAATCATTTAGTAGGTTCGTTCGATAGTAGCTCCAACTTTCAGGGCAAGTAGAGCGAGGCCCATCCCATAACCTAAGGTTGACCAAACGTTGAGCACAACAGCTAATGCAAAACGGTAAAGGAAGAGTGAATTTTCCAAACGAAAATCAAGTCCCGTGATTCTTTTTTTCCGTGGGATAAACGAATCAAGTTACACCTAAATTATTAAGGTTTGATTGGAAAAAAATTTTTAGTTTAATTTATTTATTGTTATTATTCAAATAATAAATTAAATTAAATTCCAATAGTTTAATATTTAATTCAAAATATTCCTTAGTTTAATTTTTATTTTTTAACATTCTTATAAAAGTGTACTATTAAATTGTAATATTTAATGGTGACATTTATAATTTTAATGCATTAAATAATTTAATTAAATTATGAATGAAATTCAAACATAAAAATAAAATTTAAACAAATTTAAATCAAAATTTAAATTACCAACTTTCCAATGAAATTAAATTTGAACTTAATAATCTATTTATTTATTCAATTGGATTACAATCTCAAATCTCATCTGACGAAACATTTTTAATTAAGGGTCCCACACAAACCTTTTTAAATACGTGTTTCTCCACTCCCACCTATATTTTCTTTATTTCATTCTGATTTCTGAACAAAATATTTGAACATAAAAATATATAAAAAGAAAAAAGAATAGCAAAAACCCTAATTGAATAATCAGCAAAAAAAAGGTGCAGCTTCTTTTGTCCCTTTCATTTTTCTTTTCTTTTTCTCACATTTTCATGGAATATTAGTATTAGAAGAGAAAAAAAAAATCGTTTTTTGCCACAAAAGGGTAACCCTTAGGGTTATTCTCTCTTCCTGATTCTAACTTTTTTATCTGTGATTTTCTTGACTACCATACAGAGATTTTAAGAAAATGGCAGATTCGACGATCATCAATGGCGAAGTGGAGAATCAGACGGCGGAGAACTTCTACGACGCCGATGAAGCCAATGTAACCGAGCTGGCTAGCAAAATCGAAGCGCTTGAGAGCGAGAAGCTGGAGCTGGGCAAAGAAAACAAAGAAGTGAAGGAAAAGATCAATAAACTGACTCTGGAAATGGATCAACTACGAAACCGGGAAGAAGAAATGAGACTAGAAATGGAAGAATGGGAAGAGGATAAGAGGTTCCTCGAATCGATCGCCGCGAGATCGGCTGACCTTGAAACCGAGGTTTCGAGGCTTCAACATGATCTGATAACTTCGATGAGTGAAGTAGATGAGGCGAATAAGGAGTTGGTTGAGTTAAAGAGAGGATTGGAAGAGAAAGGGTTGGTGATTGAAAGATTGGACAAAGAAATCGCTGAGTTGAAGAAAGAGAAAGTTGAGAGTGAGAAGAAAGAGAGTGAATTGGAGCGGAAATTAGGGCTTTTAGAAATGAGGGAAACGGAGCAGAGGAATAAGAAAGTTAGGGTCGAAGAGGAAATGAGGGAAATGATGGACGAGTTTGAGAAGAAAGTTGAGGATTTGGAAGCAGAGGTGGCCAGAACGAGGGCTGAATTGGAGAGAAGTAAGGAAGATAAACGAGAATCCGAGGAGAAGGTGATGGCGTTGGAGTCGAACATGTTGGCATTGAAGGAGTTGGTGGAGGAGAGGACAAGCGAAGCTATTAACGCAAAGGCCAGGGAGATTGATGAGAGTGTTGGTTGTGAAGAGAAAGGTTTGAATATGCTGGTTGTGGTAGCGGGAACGGCTGGGGCTTTTGTTGTTGCGGCTGCTGTGGTATATCTTTGCTGCAGGAAGCGGCCGTGACTGATGGTTGCTGGTGGAAAACTAATGAGGAGAGGGACAAGCAGAGGTGAGGATTTTATCATTGTTATGAATATGGGTTCAATTTTGATAGGTGGAATAATTTTGCTTGGATTTTCAATTTTGTGCCTATGAATCTCAGTTGTACTAATATAATTTTGGCCTTGCTTGAGGTGTGTTTTTGTTTGCTAGTTGACAATTTTAATTGCAAACACAAGTATTCCATCCAGTTTTTCTAGGAATTTCTTTTATCCTTTGTGGTTTTATAGTGATTCAAATTGCTCGATAGACTGTTACATTCTTAGTTCAAGTGAGCATTATTGGAATCTGTTCCCTCAAATAAAAAAAATTCTCATTTGCTTGTTCATTCATGCTGAAGAAATTTCAAATCTTTGTCATTAATTGGTTTGTGGAGTTGTATGCTGTGATTGTTACAATGTGAAATTGCGCTTCTTTATATGAATAGAGAATAGTAGAAACCAGGATTTGTTGAACACTGGTCTATTTTTTTATCATGTTTTTTGCTGAGGGCCATCTGCCTTAGAATATGGTAATCATCGATACAGGAAATTCTTAATATTCTGTCAGTTGATTTGTTTAATCTGACAAGTGCTGCAGTTTTTTTATTCTAAATCATTCTTGCCATTAAACTTTTGTGAGTTGAGGGGAAAACCAACATACCAAGGGGAATTGAAATCATATCATTACATAAATACTCCACACACGGCAGATCCAACATCCAAGCCCTTATACATTCTCAACAAACTTCACTTGGGGACGAGGACATTTCTTCTCAACAATCATTTTGCAGAAAATGTCGAAAAAACCATCATAAAAACCTATCAACTCCACCAAGAACTTGAAATTCTGCTAAACTTTTTTCGAGTAATACTGTCCGGCATTAGTTGATGGAGAGTGCTTGGATTATTGTAAATTGTTGAGTTTGTTAGGCTTTTAGAAAATTGAAAGTTGGCAAGTTGCATAGGCTCAAACAATGCATAGATTTTTACAAACAAGTTACTCTGATGGCTGAACACAATGCATATATTTTTACAAACAAGTTACTATGATGCCTGAACATAGAGATCCAATCTCTTACTTACAGGTTAGACCACTAGTGTGATTAATGAAGCACCAGAATAGTGTTCCATCGACAGGAAAGACACTGCAACTTGATCGATTTTATATGGCCTATACTCCAGTTATTGGAAGAATAGCACAAGAGCTTGATGAGGCATCCTTAATTGAAATTAAAAATATTCCTATGTCCTAACATCATCTCTATGTGTCTATCAAGAGCATCAAGGCTTCTCTCTGTTATCAAGGAGCTATTGTTACAGTCAGTTGCTTTCTTCCTGTCAAAAACCAAAACTACAAAAGGACTCAACCAGATTCGTGCCAAGTACCTTAAATGCTAGTACTGGCAGTGGCACAGTTTTGAGAACTTATTCCCCACAAAGTATCCATAAAACTACAAAAAGGATAAACCATAAGTAGTTTTCATTTTGTGATCTTGCAGAAGGAACCATAACCTCTTCCAGTTATATCTTGCATGGTGGGTTGTAATCTTGTTACCATCCAATTGTAAGTTCCAACTTCCAAGAGATGACCTTTCCGACCTTTGTGGTAGATCAGATGAGAAGCAATTGACCATAGTCCAAGGAGGCAAGTAGGAAGGTAATGTGTTGCAGAAGACCACTCCTTCACAATAGCGAGTATTTTAGTTACCAGTGGCGGCTATTGCTAATGGCAAGGTCACTTGACGGTGCATTTACAGAAGAAGCTTCCTGTGCCACTACAAAAGCTCTCCTTTGATAAATGAACCATGTTAGTATAAATTATTGCTGATTTCCCAAAGTATTTAGGCTCTGATATACTTTATTCGGCCATAGAGGTGCCACCAGTTAAACCAACCTTCAGGTCCAGCACTTCGATCTTTGCTTCCAAACTCTCAAATGTCTCTCACATATGCTTTGCAAATTTCCAAAGCTGGTAGTTATCTTTGTACCTCCACGAGAACTTTCCCATCCTCCTGCAAGTCTCAGTAGCATGCTAATCTTGTTTCAGAAGTAGGCGGGGAAGGGGTCTTTTGCAACTTCAGATCATCCTCACATAACTAACAATTGAGCGAGTAAACAAATTCTAAGGAAAAGAAAATTTTCATGGATGCTAAGAAATAAAGCTTTATGACAAGTTTTCTCACCTCCAGTTTATCTGTCAGAACGCCGTAGAACTTCAAAATATCCACAGCAACTCTTCCAAGAAGTTGGTTGCACGGGACGATGACTGGGAGATATGATGGGCTAGCTGTCAAAAAAATTCACAAGATAGAAGCAAATTTCAGTTGAAACAAATTGGAGGCTGGAAGCCTGGAAAATCAAGCTTCTCGCTTAAAGCATTCGAAAAAAAAGGAAACAGAAACATAGAGAATACATTTTTTTCTTCATACACATGATCAGGAGATTCTGTGCTCAGTTACTGACCAGATTTTCTGTGCTTTCATAGATCTCGGGCTTGTTTACTGGTTCACAGCATCACGGGTCTCAGCGATAGGAACATTTGCTCCCTGCGATGAATTTTCAACATTTTCCTTAGATGCCAATTGGGGGAAAAAGCGTTATTGTATGAAGCTGGAATTTTGGTTTCCGTGATTCCTTGGGCTACTGCAGCTGCAGGAACTCCACCATTCCCGGCCAAACAAGAAATAGTTGTTTCTTCAATCGCCCTGGGCATTACATCTGCTGCGACCGTGGAGCCATTTGTCTCATCCAAACCTGGCAGCGTTGTTTCCTCGTCAATTCCCTTTGATTCCACATCTGTTCAGAGTGCAGAATCACTAGTGATCTAAGCAGAGGACAGCTGCTCAATTTCTTTCATTAAACCATTTATTACTCTCGTCCAAAGATGGTGAAATGTTCTCTTTCTGTTTCTTTGGCATCTAATTCAGCAACATCAGAATCTTCTGATTTTTCAACTGATGGTTCGATATCATGACTGAACTCTTCAGTCAAAGGAACCCCTGGTTCAAGCTCAACTGACTCAACAACTGAATCAGAAACCACTTTCTCCTCTTCAAAAGTCTGTGAATTCTCCTCCTTTCCCCAGGTTCTGCCTCATTGTCCGAACTGCTACTAATTGAACTGGAATCCTTGCCATCCGGAGTTTCATTAACCGACTTGGAGTTCCTATCTGCAATAATGTCTCACAAATTCAACGTCTGGTTTTGACATTGATGAATCTTCCAAAACAATTAACTTCCTTTTCTTCTTCATGTGCTTGTACTTTCTAGCTCTCCTCTAGTATTCCGTTTGAAGATTCTTCCATTTGGTAACGATTTAAAGAAGCTACTGATTCAACAGACAAAGAATCTCTTCCTATGCTTTTTATTGTTATTAGATATGCACTTTAACCACCCCTACTTTCTTTCTAAACCTCAGGTTTCAGGACATGAATTCCTGTACGAGTTCATTAAAGAAAAAAAAAAAAAGTCAAACAATGAGATGAGAGGTATTCACTAATGAAAAAAAAAGGTGAACAACTAAAGCCTTAAGCCATACAGATAGACTGAGAAACAATGGATGACAGATAATGATAATGGAACATTAGAAAGAGCATGAATGAGATCGAAATAACTACTATATATAGCTTGAAGTTGAAAGGCAGGTGAAGAAGGGAACGTGAATATTTTCATTAGGGTTGGCAGCGCAATTTGGAATCGGTGGGTTTCGATCTAATCCAACCCGACCTCATAGAGTTTTTCTTTTTCTTTAAATCGAGTTTCGGATCGGATATTAGGATATTATTAAGGAAAAATCGGGTTTGGGTCGGGTTTGGATTTTAGGCAAACCCGATCCAACCCGATATTATATAAAAAATTATTTTTTAATTTTTTAATTAGATATATTTATATATTTATATTTAAAAAATAATATTTATATTTTAAAAAAAATAATATTTTATTAATTTCAGGTCGGATATGATTTATATAATATCGAGTTCGGGTCGGATATTAAAAAATAAAAAAAATTTTAGGTCGGATAGAGGTTCGGGGTGAGCAAAAACCCGTCCTGATCCGACCTGTTGCCAACCCTAATTTTCATAGTGTTTGGACGCGAAGATACAACTCAGCCTTAATTGGTTGTTGTAGGTGAGTTTTACAAAAAAAGGTGCAAAGACTGATTGGAATAGGACCAGGAGCTTAACTCATAATATTCATGTAATCATTTTTAATAAATGACATTCAGTAAATTTAAATTTTAAATTTTAGTACATAAAATTTTTTCCTCTATCTTTAGCTTATGTTTTTTTTTTTTACCAAAAAAAAGAAAAAAATAAGGTAGAAATAAATGAAGGGAATGAATATGATGAGAGATGGTTTGATTTTTGACATTGAAAAATGAAAACAGTGATGACTATTAAATTTATAGTATTTTATAAGTTCATTTTAACTTAAAAATTTTGAAAATTTTCTTGAAATTGGTGCTTTTTATAAGTGAAATCTTAATTTGTAGGGTTTGGTACATGTGGCATGTGAATGCCATGCAATCCATGCAATATTCGACCATGCATGGGGATATAATAGAACTAATCATCTAAAGAGTTGTAGCTAAATCCAACTAGTTAATGGAGTTCCAACATGTATTTGGCTAAAGAGAAGTTATAGACGTAAGATGACTCTTTGTTCAATTTAAAATTTTAACTCCAAGATAGACACTTCAATAAAGATAAAGGCTAGAGGTTTTATTCAAGAAAGATTTTTTTAAAATTTTTATCTCAAGAGTTTGAACCTAAGTCAACTAAATTAAAGAGATTACTTTTGGATTTCGACCTTAATCGAACCTACATTCAAATTTCAAGACGATGATGACATGGCATGATGTGAGCATTAAGAAACAATCCAAGAACACCATGCGGCTAACACATGTTTCATTGAAGATTACATATTCGGCCAAACTCTTCCAAGATCAAGATAACATGTAATCTGTTAAGGAGTTTGAATTAGAATAGGATCTTGTAATTCTTATCCCCCGTGGTTGAACTTAGCCCCATAAATAGGCTAACCATCTTCACTTGTAATCACACATCACACAACTCGTCCCACTTTTCTCCCTTTTTTATTCTTCTTCTTTTTACAATTTTAGTTAGTTTTCTTTGTATTTTGACTAGGGTGACAAACTAGTCATAATATTGTTTTCACAAGCATTCTTTCAATACAAGTTTTTTTTTTTTTTCTACTTTCATTCAAAGATCTCTCTTTCTCTATTTGCACAACTTTTTTTTTCTTTACAAGCTTTTAAATCTTGATTTTATGCTTTCTTTACAATTGACCAACATTCACTTTCTTTCCAAGCTTTTGATTTATTTTTA